AGATAGATAGATAGATAGATAGATAGATAGATAGATAGATAGATAGACATAGACAGATTAGAGATAGATAGATAGATAGATAGATAGACAGACAGACAGACAGACAGACAGACATAGAGAGATTAGAGATAGATAGATAGATAGAGAGATAGATAGATAGATAGATAGACAGACAGACAGATTAAAGATAGATAGATAGATAGATAGATAGATAGATAGATAGATAGATAGATAGATAGATGATAGATAGATAGATAGAGGGGTGGGTGGGTGGATGGATAGATGATAGACAATGATAAAGATATATAGATTCATAGAAGAGATTCAGATTGAAAGATTCAGATTAGATAGAGACAGACCGATAAAGACAGATACAGATGATAGGTAGGTAGATAGATAGATAGATAGATAGATAGATAGATAGATAGATAGATAGATAGATAGATAGATAGAGGGATAAATGGATGGATGGACAGATACACAGAAATGAAGGATTGATAGATTGGTATATAGATAAATATGGATAGAGAGAGAGAGATCTTACTTTAACCCCCTTGGCTTCTCTAACTCTGAATTTTTCCCTCCCCACTTGACAATCCCCTCAGACCCATCCGCCTCTCCCCTCTCCCAAGGCATCATTTGGGGTCCTTAGAGCAGCGAAGGAGGGGTGGCTGAAGCCCTACCCGCTACCCCATTGGACCCACATTTCGGACCCTAACCCTCCTCTCTGCCTTCCCAGGGGTCCTTGCGGTGGTTTTCGCTGCGCTGCTGGCGGCCCTGAAGGATGTGGTGGCCTACATCTTCACGGACGACAAGTGAGACCCCCTCCTCGTTCTTTTCCCCTTTGTCTCAGGAAGGGAAGGAAGGAAGGCCGGAATGGGAGGCTGCCTGCCGTGCCTCTGCATGTACAGGTGGTCCTCGGTTTACGACTGGTCGCTCAGGAGCGACTATTTGAAATTATAACCAAGCCACCAAAAGCTGCTTACTAAAACCATTTCCCAAGTTATGACCACACACACACAAACACACACACGCGCACGCACAGGGTCAGTCAATGCGACGGTTGTAAGTGCGAGAACCGGTCACAAATCTTTTTTTTGTTAAGTGCGGTTGTTAACTTCGAACGGATGCTAAACAAATGCTTGTAATTCTAAGGCTACATGTATATGAACTTTTTCCCCCAGTGCAGACTTTAGAACTCAGATCTCCTAATATATAATTTCTCCCCATTAATAGAGAAATTGTTGCTTTGGTCTCCAAAGTGATGCTGATTTTCTCACCGTTTCACCTGTTCGATGCCATGGCGGTGAGTTTCTGGCGGGGCTCAAAGCCGTGGGTTGAGGTGCGAATCCTCTTGGCGCCCAAATGGGCTTTCGTAGCCATGAGGACTAGAAAACCTGCTCCTTTTAAAAAGATTTTTTTTTTAAAAAAAAGGGGGTCTTTGGGGCAGCCACATTCTCTGGGCTTCCTCCCAAGCAGCTCCACACAATGTGCCCTGTCCTTGGGACAACAACCTTGGGAGGTAGGCCAGCCAAGTGGGGATCTTAAGCCATCCTCGTCTCGGGATGGAGAGACCCTTTTAGGGGACTGCCCTAACCTCCCTGCTCTGCCTCCATTCATCAGGCCACTTCCGGAGGGGTGCTGAGGGGCGCCGGCAAGCAGAAAATTGGCGCCATCGCCAACGCGGTGGGCTACTACGTCGTCGGGTTGCCCATTGGGGTTACACTGATGTTCGTGTACAAGCTTGGCGTGATGGGTGAGCCGGCCGGGAGGGGCCGTTTTCCCTTTGCAAGCTGCCCTCCAGATGTTTGGCTTGGTCTGTGGGACTATCAGCCAGCCCTATGTGCCTCATACGGTGTTTGAGATCCCATTATCAAAGCCACAGTGGGTCCCTCCCCATCTGGTGGCAGTGAGTTCCACGGGCAAACTCACCATCTAAAACTGTGTTTCTCAAACTCAGCAGTTTTTAAGAGGGGAGGACTTCCGCTCCCAGAATCCCCCAGCCAAGGATGCTTTAAGAGGGGAGGACTTCCGCTCCCAGAATTCCCCAGCCAGCATGCTTTAAGAGGGGTGGACTTCCACTCCCAGAATTCCCCAGCCAGGATGCTTTAAGAGGGGAGGACTTCCACTCCCAGAATTCCCCAGCCATGATGCTTTAAGAGGGGAGGACTTCCACTCCCAGAATTCCCTAGCCAAGGATGCTTTAAGAGGGGTGGACTTCCACTCCCAGAATTCCC